TCTTTATGGCTCATGCTTTTGCTTTCAGTTATAAGAACTCTTTGCCTACCTTTGCTCCTGAAAATTGTCCTCTATCTATGTGTATTTTTTGGAAAGTTTTATAGTTTTATACTTATGCATGCAGTACATTTTGAGTTAGTTTTTTTTTTTGAGTGTGAAGTTTAGGTAATGAAGTTCACTAATTTTGCCTTATGGATGTCCAATTGTTCCAGCATCATCTGTTGAAAATGCTATCATTCTACCATTGAATAGCTTTTGTGCATCTTTCCACTGTATTGTTCTTCAGTTCTGGGGTCCCATATCAATTTGCCTCCCCCTTTCCACCTCCCAAAATTCCCTTGTGGCTGTCTATTTCGTCATTTTCAGGAATTATAACTCACTTAGTTGAGAGGAATCGGGGGTGGAGGAAGACAGGGGAGTACATATAATCTGATATGTGTGTGTGTGTGTGGAGAGAGAGAGAGAGAGAGAGAGAGAGAGAGAGAAAGATTTGAAATAGGGACCCACTTTTCTTCTTAACTTACAGAAGGACTAAGCAGAATTGAAAAAGAAACAAGTTGAATGCTAAAAACTGAAAAGCGTAACAATTGACATTGAAAGCATAGTCAACAAGATTATTAGAACCCCAGAAATAGAAAAATTATCATTGACAGGAAGAAAATTGGAGGAAATTAAAGGGACAAAATTAGATAAATAAGTAGAGAACTTGAAGGAAAGTGTAACAGACAAAGAAGATGAAGTGAAAAAGACACAGGAGGACGCACAGAGGCCGTATGGGAAGGAATGAGGCGTGAGAACTGTTCCTAACTTCAAAGGCACCACACATTCAAAAACTTCAACCCAAGCAGGAGAAACACAAAAGAAATCCACATTATACCCAGTAAGAAAAGACTCACGACTTCAAAAAGTGTCACAGGTGACAGCTGACTTCTCACCAACACAAACGGGAATAAGGACACTGTAAATTGATAAATTCAGGAATAACAGAGAAAATACAGGTCATGTCTTTCAAAGAAAAAGGGTGAGATAGAGATATTTTCAGAGTATCAAATATTCTTATGAGCAGAATGTCATTTAAAAATACTAAATAACTAACATATTTTGTATAATCATGAAAAGTTGTACAATTCTGAACTTGTGTGCACCAAACAGTATTATCTGAAAATCATGGTATCTGCAAATTTTAGCATAAAAATGTACAACTTCTAGACTGAAAAATGACCAGATTCACATAGAAACAGAAAAATGTGATCCACTCTATGAAACTAAGGAACCAGCAGGAATGAACCAGTTGTGGAAATGAGCAGATCTGGATTTCAAAGCACTCATAACATTGAGTTTGAGGGTGTAAAGGAAAATACACTCACAGTGAATATAAAAATAAAAAAGCTCAGTAGATAGATAAAATTCATAAAATAAGACAAATGGAATTTCTAGAAAAAACAAAAAAATACAAGACCTAATGTAAGCCATTGGATGAGTTTAACAGCAGATGGCATAAGACAGGAAAAAAGCATGCACTCAGATGTAGATGAACTTACATTGGCCAATCTGAAGAAAAATGAGACAAAAAAATAAATATATGTAAATTTAATACTAGTAACATTACATGAGAAATAAGCAAATTCACAATAGAAAAAAGTTTCAACAGAAATCACACAATAATTTAATTAGAGAAATAAAAAATTTAACTTTGTGGATTTTATAAACTTCTGTACCCAGTAACTGCTGAGTACAAGGCCATGCAACACATTTTTTATTGAATATTTTTAAGTACAAAAATCAAGTTAAATAGATTTCAGAAGATTTAACTCTTACAGGATATGTTTACTGATCACAGTAAATCTAAGTTGAATGTTCATAATAAAAAGATAAATAGAAACACTCCATATGTTTGGAATTTAAGAAAAATACTTATAAATAATCTGCAGGTCAATAAAGCAATTATTCAAAATATAAAATGCTTTGAATGTGTGTCAATAACCGTAGTATTGCATAGGAACCTTGAGTGAAGCAATTAAAGTAGTAAGTACAAGAAAATATATGAAAACAGTGGAGAAGGGGGAAAAAGAATAGAAAAAAAGAAGCAAACTGTAACAACCTCATAGTAGAACCTTTAAAAGGACCTATCTAGCAGCACATAATTCTTAGGACTTCAAAACTCCAAAACTCGTTCTTGAGTAGTATGCACTCATTTAAAAATTACTTTGTGCCTGCTGCAGACACGATATGTATCAGGTCTGGGAGTGAGAAAGGCGAGGGCAGTTTCCTCTGGAGCACACAGCAGAGGAGGCAGACTTCACACGGCGGTAGAACTGCTGTGAAACACACTGCGAAGAGCCGTGGGGCTCTCAGACCTCATCACAGGGATTTGAAAGTATCTAGGGAGGTAAGGTGGGAAATGACAACTTAACGAGATCCTCAGGTTGAGTAGGATGAGCAGCGGAAGACAGGGAATGAGCACCACTGAAGTGCAGAAATAGCAGGCACATGGGCTTCCCGGGCTGTGTAGAAGCCAGTGGGTTTGGAAAACAGATAGCTCTCAGGGAGTATCAGGAAATAAGGCTGATGGTTCTAGGTGGTTCTAGGTGGGAAGACTGCAACAAGACTCGCAGGTCATCTTAAGATATGTAGGTATCTATTCTTTTTTTCTTGAGACTGAGTTTCTTGCTCTGTTTCCCAGGCTGGAGTACAACAGTGTGATCTCGGCTCACTGCAATCTCTACCTCCCGGTTCAAGGATTCCCGTGCTTCACCTTCTGAGTAGCTGAGATTACAGGAGCCACTGTGCCCAGTTAATTTTGTTGTATTTTTAGTAGAGATGGGTTTCATCATGTTGGCCAGGCTGGTCTAGCACTCCTGACCTAGGTGATCCACCCGCCTCAGCCTCTCATAGTGCTGGGATTTCAGGTGTGAGCCCCGCACCTGGCCTATTGGTGGATATTCTAAGTTCAATGGGACACCAATGGAGCCTTTCAAGCAAGCAGGCAACATCAGAATTGTGTTGAGCAAAGACTACAGGGATTGCAGAGCAGAGAATGGGAAGACAGTGCTGCTTGCAGAGAGACTGGAGAGGCTGCTTAGAAGTGTATATATTTTAAAGAATTTAGCAAGAAATGTTTGTAGGCTGAACGATAATTTAATGATAGAGGACAGGAGAAAAAATATACAATGAAATCAATAGGAGTTAGTTTAGCAGAAGGTAAGTTTGGCAAAGAAGAATGAGATTGAAATACGAGGCTGCAAGTAATTAAGAAAACTATCACTCTAAGTACCTAAAAGGAGAATTTGAACAGAAATTTCTTTATTAAATCATTGCTGTTCTTATTACAAGACTGATGATTAATAAAAAACGTGGTACTAAAGTCACAGGCACTGAGTTAAAGACATCTTCGTTGAGTCATAGATTAGCCATTTGCACAGTTGTGATGATAAGTGATGTAACCTCTCTAAAAACTTCCAGAATTTTTTGTCTTGTTGCTCTTTGTAAAACGGAGCTGCCAACCTCATGGGATTGTTGTGACAATTAAATAATGAATATCGTGCTTAACATGACACGTAACACAAGTCAAAGAACTAAATAAATATTCATTATTATTGATAGGACTTTATCATTATTAATTGGGGACAATATTCTGAGAAGAGTTCACTTTAAAATTTCAAATAGAGGCAAGAATCGCAGTTACTATTGATTCGGAAGCTATTGCTGGGGTGGGAAATTCCCGCTCTTTAAACATGAACTTTCCATGTAAAAGGAGGAGATCAGGGCTAATGTTTGGGAAGATCTGTTTATTTTTGACATTCCCCAGGGAGCCTGGGGAACCCTGGGCATCTCAGCCATGCATTTGTTTACCTTTGGCTTGCCCAGGGAGCAAAACATCATGAAGAAATGCAGGGCCAATTGTCTTGGATTAATAGTTCATTAGTTACATAATTATTAGGGAAATAATCATAACACCGTAGATTTATTTCTAGAATAAAGAACATGGATTTGATATTATTTGATAGACAATATCATAGACAATGCACATTAACATTCACTTCAGATTTTATCCTATTTCATTAATCTAGAAAATAAACCTTTTTTGCTGGCTTAAAGAATCACCTCAGTTGTTCTACTAATTTAAAATTGTACAATATCAGCATGTGTATTATAATTGGTTGCCACAGGATACAGATCACTATTTGTCCATGCAAAGTGGAAACTATTGCAAATACAATATGCTAATGTATGTGCTAAGTCTTAATTCATCATTTTATTTTAGAGCAAAGGAAATCAAGGGAATGTGTTTGCCAATAAATTTTAATATACGTCTCCCTGGAGCAATGAATATGAGATTAAATAGCAGAGGAATACAATAGTATGTACCCTAAATGATTCAAAGTATGTCATTCCCTACTAATTTGGTCAAAGCCAGAGAATTTTTTAAAAAAGAAAAGATTAGTTTCTGTTGAATTTCATTTTATGCCTTATGTTAGAAATTTGTAAAACTGTCTCTTGCTGGCTCTCAGATTGTGAAATAACAATGAATGCAGCTCCAGGCAAGCTGCCTTTCAGGCAGACCTGTCAGGAGAGAGACAGACAGTTCAGGGTAATTCATTCTTGCCACTGAGTCTCAAGTGACTTGTGAAGGAATCTGGCATTTCTAAAATATAAATAGCATTAACTCACAGCAAGAAACAGAAAGTGCTCTTCATGCTTCCTGAGAGGCAAAAGATCCACAGTGAGCAACAGAGAGCCATCGTGGGGTTTAATGACAGGACTTTTAGAAAAGGAGAATTTTATAGTAACTGTCTGTAAAGGACACACCTCACCAAGTCGATGGATTTCCTGGGGGTAATCGATTCCCAGTGTTTTACAAGTTCATGTTCTTCAGGATGATCGTAGTGTGCACAAAAATCACATGCAAATGAATTTTGGATCAAGATACAAAAATAAAATACACCAGCGAAAATGAAATGAAGGGAACTAGGAAATCACAAAACGGGCTCAAAGCCCTGATGTTTTTGCTCATTAATTCAGCATGTAACTCACATTGCAATAGAAGCAGAAGAGGTTGAGCCCACAGTCAAACTGTCACTGAATTCTAAACCAAAACTGAAGTATGGACTTCTTCGCATTAGGGTCACGTTGCCAGAACCATACAATCAAACGCCTGGCCGGGAGAGTTTTCTTTGCTCTCAGAGTTCCTGTGTGGAAAGGAAATCTGAGAACTTATGGTGGTAAATGTTATTACTTCAAGAATTCACCCCACGGAATTCATAAATCATCGTATTTCTACTGCTACTCGATTGAAGCACTAAGGAAAATATGAGGAAACATGAATGAATGGCGGTGTTAAGGAAGGTTTATTTCTTTTCTTCTTTTTTGCTGCTATTAATTTACATGGGATCACATGCTAGAATTGCTTGCCTTTAGCATATCTGAAAACTGTTTCCCATTTGGGTTTTATTACAGAGAGCCTATTGAGAAAAACATTAAAACATCCTTTGAAAATGTATTTGTCAACAGGAAAGATCAACGGGACAGAAAAGGAATGACATCCACTTAACACCTAATTGTCCCTGTGTCAGGGTAGGAATTGTCTTGGTCTTATCCCTTGACATCTGCTGGTTGGTCATTTTATTCAAATCTTTTTCCTACTGATGTCACCTGAAGACTTTTTGGGTGTCATTACATTTTCAGTATCAACAGGGTCCATGACTTGGGTTGCTTTACCACCATAAAAAGATCAATATATATACGCCTGAAGCCAGCCTTTTTAGACGGTAGCCTACCAAGCTGTGAGACTCATGATTTTCCTCTCCTGGAAGTTATGAGCTTTGGTGATCTTAGCACGGGTGTAAGCTTAGCCACTTAGAATCTGTGCCCTGTTCATTTTTTAGGACTCTTCGTTTAAATGAAGAGCATATATTTGTTTTATGATAACATGTTCTATTAGGCCAATATGTTTTATTGTATCTTTCTGATTTCAACACAGCCTATGATCATAGGAAGGAAACTCTGCTAGATGATGTTCTACTCAGAGGTAATGTGGCTCACATGGTGACATTTTAATTCTTACTACATTTGCTACCGACATGACACTTGGTGGAAGTACCTCCCCCTGTCTTCCTTGGATCTTATCACAGTCCCTCCTACCTGGCTGGGACTCTCTTACCTTCCTCCCCTGTCTTCCTCTAGAAATGAGTAAGATGGCCACATGGCCTGCAGCCCTGTTCCCACAGCAACACCTTACTCAGTGCAAAAGATGTTTGTGATTTGTGGTTCTCCCTGCTGTTGATGAGGCCTGAAACTGAATGAGATTCCATTTCTTAGATTTGAATAAATTGCATTTGAGGCCTCTTTTCTATCACAGTCAACCTACCCGTTATACTGGTCTTGATGCCCCTACTCTGTAAACACTCAGAGTATAGCTCAGGCAGGCGTGACGTGGAAACTCTTCACTGATATTCTTCATTCTTGCTGAAACACACAAAGGCATGAGCTACGGGCTCGGAAAGAGGTTTACTGCCATGCCCTTTTACACAGCTCCTTTTCCTCTTCGGCGTAAGGGGAATTGACTTGTGTCATTTAAGCAGCCCTGCACTGAGCACATGCATCACACTGCACACTGCTCCAGCTTACAGAGGAAAGAAAAAACAAAAAACAAAGCCGCTGTTGATGAAACATACACTCTGGTTGGGAAAGCAATAAACACACAGACAACTATTCGGGGGTAGGCAGGAAACATGATCAAGTAAAGTGTTAGAGCATGGGGGGTGCATATATTTCAACAGAAAAGATGAAAGCAAGAACACCTGCCACCCACACTGCCAACTAACATGAGAAGTCCCTGCAGAGGTGAAGGGCTGGAAAAGGGTAAGTACTATCATGCCGCTGGGCAGGTTAATGGGACTTTGTGCTCAAAGTAAAAGGCAAACATCACCATCAGATTTAGTCATAGTCACAGAGGCAGTATGAGAACTAAATGATCCCGTCATGAGTAAAATCCATTCATTCTAATCATTTCTTCAATTTACCGGGCAGCTGCCATGTACACCACACTGTAATAGATGCTTCACATAAAGTATTTTATTTGGTGATAACTGTAGTCCTCTTTTACATATTCCCTCCAGTTTATGGCTGAGTGGGCTAAGGTAAGGGAGATTAAATGACTTCCCTGGTGGTATGCGGCATGTGAACGCTGGGATCAGGAATCTGCCCAGGCCTCTAATCTCCTAGCTCTGTGCTTCTTCCTCCACATCTTATGACCTCCCTGGAGCTCATTTCTCCATCTCTAAGAATCCTGCATCAATGGGTAGGTTATGGATGGACCATTTTGCTTGGTGTTTGAAGAAAACTCCGCCTTGTTACTTATAAGGCCCCCACATACGGTGATGGGTTTGTGAGGCTGAGTTGAGAGCTAGGGGTCCCGTAGGGTGGAATGGGGTGGGCATCAGAATGAGTCTCTCCGGAGGGGATGGGAATCTCAAAGGACAGACTGAATGACAAGTGGGTGCTCAAACTGGAATCTGGATTTGTGAAGGTGGATCTTAGGCTGGGAAAGAAAGGTCATATTTTCTCACTCCAACTCTGATAAGCTGATAGGTTAAGCACAGGGTATATTTTAACTCTGTTGAGGTTACATATTTTTCCCCACATTAAGGCTGTGGTATATTTTATATTATGCATTAGTCCATTTTCACACTGCTATAAAAAGCTGCCCAAGACAGGGACATTTATAAAGAAAATAGTTTAATAGAGTCATAGTTCCACATGGTTGGAGAGGCCTCAGGAAACTTGCAGTCATGGCAGAAGGTGAAGAAGAAGCCAATACCTTCTTCACAAGGCTGCAGAAAAAGAGAGCAAACAGTGGAGATGCCAGACGGTTATCAACCAGATCTTGTGAGAGCATCCTCACTGTCACTAGTACAGCATGGGGGAACCGCCTCCATGATCCGATTACCTCTCACCAGGTTCCTCTGTCCAGACATGGTGATTACAATTTGAGATGACATTTGTGTGAGAACACAGCCAAACCATACTATATTGAGAACACATTATCCAAATTCATGATAATGTGTGTGATCTTTCCATTAGTCTTTTGGAAAATCGTCCTTGTCTTAGTTGACTTCTGTGTGCCGCAGACAAGATTTATGTTGGTGGTAATGGTTAGTAAGAGATTATAAAAGCCCAAATCATATGGAAAAATCTGGTCCAAGCACTGGACCACCCCCATGCTGATGAAATATTTTCTTGGGGATACTCTCAGTGATATTCCTAAAAATCTCCATTTTCAAAATCAAAAGTTAGTTCTAATTTGTTCTATTTTAATAAAATTTACTCCCAAAGCAGAGCTTCCTGTCCCCATGGTTTTTAGAACAGAAGGCTGAGATACTTTGAAATTAATTTATTTTTTAAAATATTCTTTTCTTTAAAAAAATCCATTAGTATCCCTCCTAAGTATATTCACAGTGTTCACGTACTACAGTAAGAGTTCTGTTTGCATTTTATCTTAAGCAAATTATTTTTACTCTTTTGACTTTTAAAAAAAAAGTTTAAATTTTATTTTAAGTTCAGGGGTACAAGTATAGGTTGTTATGTAGGTAAATTTTGTCATGGGGGTTTGGGGTACAGAATATTTCATCACCCTGGCAATAAGCACAGGGCCTGATAAGTTGTTTTTTGGCCCTCAGCCTCCTCCCATCCAACTTCTATTTCTTATCCATAAAATGGAGCTAGCACACTTATCTAATTTCCCAAGTATATTAAAAAGTGTTGGGTTACATATTTCAGATACAAGAAAGTACTTAGAAATATCAGAGCAGGCAACAGATTATGTCACGTCACTTATGAAAAAAGCAGCAAATTGAAGGGAATTAATACTTAAGTATAGGTTAGAAATCTCAATAAAAGTATGAAAAGTAAACTTTCTGAATAGGCTTGAATTACTGCTGAAATGTTTCAGATGTTTACATATTACTTTAACAATAATTATGTTGACCTTCCCTCGGTGGTAAACTCCTGCGTTTTAAATACTGAACATACTAATTTTGAAGTATGTTTCCACAAATTAGGAAATTGTAGGTAGAAATATGTTTAAAACTACAGAAAGTATGTAAATCAAAAAATCATGTTGTGCATCAGGTATTAAAACTTTAAAATATAAAATTGACTTCCTTTCTGATTTATTGAATCCAACCCAGCTGAAAATTAAGATAGCAAATGGCTGTGTTCATTTCCCCTACACGAGCTGTGTGCAGTTGTAGACGATTATATCTTTGAACTAAAGCCATTTTCATGTACATTTCTATATAGATAGAAATTATGGGCCAGATGTGGTGATCTGGAGCCTAAGGCATGAGGATCTCTTGAACCCATCGGAGGCAGAGGTTGCAGTGAGCCAAGATCATGCCACTGCACTCCACCCTGGGCACCAGAGCAAAAAACCTTTGTCCCAAAAAAGAAAGTATGTGCTTATTACAGAAATAAGCTTTAAAAATCATTCTGGGTAATAAACTGTCAGCACTAAAACATATAGAAATTGGCCTCATAAAACCAGAGAGAAAGGGTTGTCTCTGCTAGTTTCTGTAAGAGGTTATAGGGAATTGGTATTTCTTCTTCCTTAAATATTTCATAGAATTCAACGTGAAACCTTTGGAACTGATTTTTTTTAAATGTTATTAATTATTGATTCCACCTCTTTAACAGACATGCCACTATTCAGGTTAGATACGTTACCCTTTGTGGGTTTTGGGAGTTTGTGTCTTTTAGGGAACAGATCCATTTCATCTACATTATCAAATGTATGATATAAAGTTGTGCATAGTATTCCTTTAATATCATTTTAATCTCCATAGAATCAGAAGCAAGTCTTACTTAACTTCTGGTGTTTATAAAGTTTTCCTTCTTAGTCCCTCCCTTTTTTAAAAAACCTTTTCTTGGTTAACATGACTTGAGTTGTATCAATTTTATTTGTCTTTTCAGAGAACTAACCAGCTTTTTGTGTTGTCAGTTTTTTTTTCCCATAGTTTCCCTGTTTTCAGCTTCACTGACTTGTGCTCTGGTGTTTGTGACGTCTTTTCTATGGCTGGCTTACATTGTTCTTTCTTCATTTCTTAGGTGGAAGCTTACCTTATTGATTCTAGATTTTTTTTCTAAGTATGCATCCAATCCTATAAAATCCCTCTAAGTACCACTTCTACTGCACTTCATCCATTATATAAGATGCATTTTCCTTTATTCAAAAATGTGTTTTAACTTTTCTTGAGACTTATTTGACTTGTAACTTACTTAGAAATATATTGTTTAATTGTCAGATATTTGGAGGATTTTCCAGCTATATTTCAGCAATAGATTCTAGTTTATTCCACTGTGTTCCAAAGACATATTTTGTTTAGTTTCTATTGTTTTGCATTTGGTAAGGAGTGGTTTTTAGACTAGAATGTGGTCTATATTGGTGAATGTTTCATGTGAACTTGAAAAGACGGTGTACTCCACTGTTACTAATGTATTCATTGTATGTCAATTCGTACATGCTGATTGATAGTGCTCTTCAGGTCAACCATATCTTCACCGATTTTCTGTCTGCTTAATCTATCAGTTAAGAAAAGTGGGGTGTTGAAGTCTCCAACTGTAGCAGTAGATTTGTGTATCTCTTTCTTCAGTTCCATCAGGTTTTGCCACACGTATTTTTACCCTCAATGGACGCACCTTGAGGATTGTTACGCCACGTGGAAAATTCGCCCCTTCATCTCTCAGATAGAGCTTGTTCCTTGCAGTGAATCTGTCTGTAATCCATTGTTTATTATATTATGGGTGTGGTGGGGAGGTGTGGGGAGTGGAGTGTCCTACAATCTTCTGTTTACATTTTAATGTTTCAGGAGACAGTGTCTTGGAGATTAACTTTCATGAGTTGTCTCTCCAGTGGTATGGCTTTTTTCTCTCCTCTATCCTTTCTTCCTTCTATGGCTCCAATACTCTTCATCTATTTCCTTGAAGTCGTCACTGCTGTTGGTTGTGGGTTTTGGAGGAATACCCTTCCCTTATGGGCATTCGGTTCTGACAGTGTCTTTTTCCCTAGAGTGTTGGTCTTTTTTTTTTTTTATGGAAAAAGCAATGTGTTTTACAATGATTGATTTTATCTCTCCCGCTGAAATGGCCAAGAGGGGATGTTTCTCTGATTTTCACTGTGAGAAGGGTGGGTTTCTGGAGGTAAAGCCGAGGAAGGTGTCAGCTCCCCTAAGGCTGCAGCACCGTGCTGGGCACTTAGCCTCCCGCAGGTCATCCAATGACCCTGCCAGTGTCCCGACCCCTTAGGGCTCCAGCAGCTTCTGCTCCAGGTGAGCACCTCTGGGCTGCGTCTCTGGATGAACGTGTTTCTCCAGATGTTGTTGCTGTAGTTTTCTTAGCAACCTCAGTTCTCTGATGGGTCTCATACAGTTGTTTATTTTCAGTTTTTCCAGATTTTTCTTATTGTAAGGACAGAGTGACAGCTTCCAAGTTCTTTCATGTCAAAGCTGAAAATCTAAGCTTGTATATATTGTACTTTAACAATTGTAGACATATGACTAAGCATGCACATTTTTAGATTAAATATCTTCCCTTAACTACAGGGCTTATTGCCAAGAGAGAATTATTAAGTGGTATAGAAAATATCTTTACAGCCGGGCACGGTGGCTCACGCCTATAATCCCAGCACTTTGGGAGGCCGAGGTGGGTGGATCACGAGGTCAAGAGATCGAGACCATCCTGGTCAACATGGTGAAACCCCGTCTCTACTAAAACTACAAAAGATTAGCTGGGCATGGTGGCATGTGCCTGTAATCCCAGCTACTCAGGAGGCTGAGGCAGGAGAATTGCCTGAACCCAGGAGGTGGAGGTTGTGGTGAGCCAAGATCGCGACATTGCACTCCAGCCTGGGTAACAAGAGCGAAACTCTGTCTCAAAAAAAAAAAAAAAAAAGAAAATATCTTTACATCAAAGCTCATACCTGTAGCTGATAGTCAGAATTCCTGAGCTTTTCCAAGTCAAGTCAGTAGATTTGCTAGAGGCTGGGACGATAAGAACTTAATATCTAATCTTGTCATCAGATTTAAAAAAAAAAAACATGACATAAGTATTGAAGAGCTGAGGCAGGAATGTGAATATAGTGAGAAAGTCAAGTACAGGTATTGATCGACTTACGACCTATGCAACTTACGACCATTCGACTTTACGACCACAATCGCTAGCCACGACTGCTCCGCATCTGGCAGCGCAAACGTTGCCCAGCTGGGCGTACGACAGTGCGGACCAGCTTCCGGCAGCACTACCATCTCCGCGTGCACCATTTCAACTGTTATCCCAGATTGGTACAGCAATTTGTGTTTTGTGTCTTGGATATTTTTCATCAAACCCCTCCCAATAAACTTCTTATACATTTTGAAGCAATGGACCCAAACATCGAACGATTTGCAAGGATTGAACGGATGGTGCACGATGTGTTTCGTCCATATCGTGAAATTTATGAAGAAAAAAAGAAGCATACAATTCAGACAAAGCTCACCATGTTTATGAAAAAACCAACTCCGGTAACCCCAACTGCTGCCTCAGATGGCGACATCAACGATCCGCAGCCAAGCACCAGCGGCCAATAAAATGTTTCGTACATGTTTATATATTTTGATATGTTTTATAATTGGGAAAATGTTTCCTATGGTATTTTTTATACCTGTATTTTGCATTTTTGTATGCACCTGTATTTTGTAATTTTGTATGTTTTGCAAATATTAAGCCAGTTGTACTGGTAATGCAGTGTTTTACTGAAACCTGACGAATGCAAAAGGGGAGTTGGGGAGAGATAGCATGGGGAGAAGTTCTAGATGTGGGTGATGGGGAGGAAGGCAGCAGATCACACTGCCACGTGTGTGCCTATGCAACAATCTTGCATGTTCTTC